GAAACTTTGAGGCCTTTCATGTGGTGCTGTATCTGTGACTCTGTGTCCTTGAGCTCACCTCTATTTTAGTAGGACCATCAACCAGCGTCTCTGGACTTCTCCTGACAGAACTTCAGAAAGGCTCATACTCAAGATCACCTGGAGCCCCTCCAATACCTGACATATGGGTGGTGATATTTTGCTCATTAACACTACCACCTCACGGCCTAGATCTCAGCACCCCCACTCTCTTTATTGGTGGAGGCCTTTAAAATGTATTGATGCCTTCAAAATTAATCAGACCTGAGAACCAGTTTAGAAAATTGATCCTTAGGATTCTGCTTCTCTAGAACAATTCTTGGTACCAGATGTCTTAGACTCTCTCTAGAGAGAGAGGCAAAATCTGTGAAACTCATATATGTGTGCATAAACACAAGTGTATGTCAAGAAGTGGCTCACACAGTTGCAGAAGTGAGAGAGTCCCAAATCCGATCAGAAGAACTAAGATCAGCAGGCAGGCAGGCTGTTCCAGCAGGTAAGAAGGCAGGCTGCTGTGGGCTCCCAGGATCGGCAGGTAATAGAGCAGGTCACTGGTTCAAGTCCAAAGAATCAGAGGTCAGAGAATGAGCCAGATACAAGAAGCAAACCCAGCAGAGAGCCAGTAAGTTTTGCTAAAGTGCCACACAGCTGAGGAAGCACCCTTTCAATTGGTTGACTGCTCATAGCAGGCCTCATCATAGAGTAAATTACAGTGTACTCATTTCATTAATGTTTCAACTGCCAAACCAGTTGAGCCCCAGAAAGTCCTTCTGCCCCTTCCCAACCACAATCCTTTCCTCTCTTCAAGGAGGAGCACTGTCCCGACTTGAAAAGCAATCTCTTCACTTTTCTTTAGAATTTTACCACGATTATATAGCAAAGTACATGAAATGAAGTCTTACCATCTTGCCTTCTATGGGACATTCTGGAAAATATGTTAAATTTTCTGGCAGCCCATGGTACTTTTAACATTCTTCCCCAATGTCAAAATTTAAATGCATCAATTCTCCAGTCTTCCTTATTCGTTATACAGATTGCACATGCATTTGAGGCAAGTGAAAATACCATGGTTTGGGTCAGGCATACTTTAGTTCTCAAAGGGACATCTTTGCTCTTTAACAAGGCCATCTTTGCTCTCTAAAGAGGTTCTGTACAGCAGATATGTCCAGTGTAATACATCATTTGATTTCTTGACTGTTGCTTCCATGAGTTTTGACTGTGGAGCCAAGTAAACTGAAATCCTTGACAACTTCAATCTTTTCACCTTTTGTCATAATTTTGTTTATTAGTCTAGTTGTGAGGACTTTTATTTTCTTTGCATTGAGTTGTAATCCACACTGAAGGCTATATTCTTTGATTTTCATGAGCAAGTGCTTCAAGTCCTCGTCACTTCCAGCCCTCAAGGTTATGTCATTGGCATTCTTCTTCATATAGTCTAGCTTCTCAAAGAATTTGCTCAATATGCAGATTGAATTAAGTATGATGAAAGGATACAACTCTGACTTACACCTTTCCTGAGCCCTGGTTGGTGCTGTAGGGTAAGCACTGGACTGTGAACCACAAGGCCAGCAGTTCAAGCCCACCTGTCACTCTCAGAAACTCTGTACAAGGTCGCTGTGAGTTATAACTGACGAGATGACAAACAACAAGTGTCATCCCTTGTTCTGTCTGAATGACTGCCTCTTGCTCTATGTACAGGTTCCACATGTGCACAATTAAGCATTCTAGAATTCCCATTCATCACAATATTATCTATAGTTTATTATGTTCCACACAATCGAATGAACGTCAGTAAAATACAAATTAGCACCTTTCTGGTATTTTCTGCTTTCAGCCAAGATCTGTCTGACATCAGTAATTATAACCTTCATTCCACACCGCCATCCTTCATTCTTCTGATTCTGACCTGAATTTCTGGCAGCTCCCTGAAGATGTACTGCTGCAACCTTTTTGGAATTATCTGCAGCACAATTTTTACTGATGTTGCCGTCAAAATTTTAAAAGTGTTCTGTTTTCTTTTGATCCAGTGGAGAAAGCTTGATTGAGTTTGTAGAGTAAAGGGAGCCTCGTCTTTGAAGCAGCTTGTTAGTTGGCTTCATAATAAAAGGATTTTATCCCAAAGTTCATTTTCTTATCAATTATTATTATTTTTTAGTCCTCTGATAGCTAAGAGTTTATTTCATTTGTATAGTACATTAAGCTAACAATTATGAAAACAAAAACTAGGTCTTAAATATGATGAATCCCTGGGTGGTGCAAATGGCTAGACACTTGACTACTAACTGAAAGATTTGCAGTTCAAACCCACTCTGAGGTGTCTTAGAAGGAAGACTTGTTGATCTGCTTCTAAAGGCCGCAGCCTTAAGAACCCTTGGTAGTGCACACACGGGATTGTCACAAGTCAGAACCAACTGCTGTGGCATTTTGTGACAAGGAAGTTACTAGTTTCCGCTCCAATCATTCTTTTTTGTGTCTGTATTTCTTCATTCAACATTATGCCTTTGAGATTCATCCACATTGTTGCAACCTGGCTGTTCACTCATTTCCGTTGTTGTATAGCATTGTTTTATACTTATTTGCCAATTCCTTTATCTATTTCTACAGTTGATAGAAGAAGCTCTGGTAGTGTAGTGGTTACAAATCGGACTGCTAATCTCACAGTCAGCAGTTCGAAACTACCAGCTGTTCCTTGGGGAAAAGATGAGGCTTTCTGCTCCCATAAAGATTTACAGCCTCAGAAACCCTGTACAGGGTCACTATGAGTAGGAACGGACTCCACAGCACATAACAACAACAACAACAACAAAAGTTGATAGACACTTTCTTTTGTTTCCATTTTTTGCCTGTTATGGATAATGCTACTATAAATATTCAATAGGAGTCCTGGTGTGGTACTGTAGGATAAAACATGAGACCACAAGATCAGTTTAAACCACAAAATCGGTGGTTCAAGCCCACTGACCACTTCTTGGAAACCAACAACAGACATTCAACAAGACAAATGCAAGACACTCCATTAAATACCTGTCTCCTGGAGGCCTCTGTGCACACGTGTCCCTAGATGCACACCGAGTAGTAAAATTAATGAGTCACCAAGCAGGCACACTGTCAACTGGCTGACAACATGCTTGTCCAGTTTATATTCATTGTGAGCTGAGTACAAATTTTGCAAAGTAGTCAGATGCTCCATAATGTCTGTGAGGAGGGCAGCCAACTCCGTATATGACCCTGGTCCTGATCCCTGTAAACCCTATTATGTTAGAAGTCTGAGGCTCATACAACAACAAATGGGTAGTAATTTATATTGTGCATCAAAACTTCATCATTACTGCTGTATAAGAGTCTTATTGTGGTGCTATAGGATAAACACTGGATTACTAACCACAAGGTTGGTGGTTTAAATCCATGAGCCACTTCTTGGATACCCTATACAGGGTCACTATGAGTTGGAACACCCTATACAGGGTCACTGTGAATTGGAACTGACTGGATGGCACTTAGCAACAACAAGATAAACATTTGACTAACTCGTGTTAGAGATGAATCATACCTAGCTGTTTCAATTTACATACAAATTTGACTTAAAAACAGACCTAGGAACTCATTCATAATCTGGGAGCTGCCTGTATAAAGTATATATACAGTATAAGCACTGCTGGCTTACTGGGTTAAGTGTTGGATTGCTAACTCCAAGAACGGCAGTTCAAACCTACCAGCCGTTCCATGGGAGAAAGATGAGGGTATCTGCTCCCATAAAGATTTTCAGTCTCTGAATCCTAAAGGAGCAGTTTCACTTGGTCCAATCAGGTCCCTATGAATTAGAGTTGACTCACTGGTTTGTTTCTTTGTTTTTTCAATATGCTGCAATGGCCAAATCGCATCATGTCCTACTTTTAAGAACACATTGTGGCTGTTGAGCAACAAACTATTACACTTGTATTATTAAGGTCATACGTTAGTCAGCATTATGCCAAAGATGATTCAGCCCAATTTATTGGATTTTGTTTTTTCTCTTCTCCAGAAGAATTTAAAAGTTTTGCCCTAAAGCATCCAGAATATGCTAAAATATTTACAACATACTTAGACCTTCAGACGTGCCATGTGTTTTCATTACCAGAAGATGTCCAGGCAACTCCCTTAGTTGCAAGTAACAAAGTCAGTCCTGAAAGTCATGAAGAAAGTACCTCAGACAAAAAAGATGACTGAAAGCAAAGATTCTCGTGAGGAAAACTCAGTGGTTTTCACTTGAAATTGTAAACACATTTATTGATAGTGTTTTAAAAGTGCTTGGTGGGTAATGTGATGCTTCAAATGGAAAGCTATTTTTAATATATAAAAATGCTACATTTTCTTATTAAAGTTGCTTTTATTCACATATATGTATCATTAATTTTCCTTTGTGTTACATTGTGTGTAATATTTACTTACTGGTTTGCTGGTGGTAAATATCATATTTTTATGGATTTTCTAATTTAATATATACAACCAGATGAATGTAATGGTCTTCCTTATTAACTGGTGTGGAGTAATCAACACTGTGAAAAACAAGACTTTTGAAAGTATGAGGGGCCTTCAAAAAGTTCATAGAAAAATTAATGAACTTTTTGAAACCCCTTCCTCTACAGAAAAAAAGGTGTAATGTTCTGTCCTCTCAAATCCCTTCTTATTCTGGAAATAGTAATGGCCAAGTCTGAGGAGCAGAACTGAATTTTGTATCTCACGTCATAGATCATTTGTTTTTCCATTTCCATTTCAGTTTCTGAGATTACTGACTATGATGAGTACATTGGGAGGGGAAGAGCCATAAACTAGATGACACTTCTTAAGAACTCATATTTTCTTTAGCATTCATCTGTATTGCTGATACCTTTAACCACCTGCCCAGAAAATCCTGTCCTTTTGCTTGCTCAAAGTTTAGAGAAAGGGTTTAGAACGTTGTTTTAAAGACAGTTGCTATTGCCAAAGGCTAAGTGGGAATTGCCTTATTGAAGGTAACATAGATTGCCTAATGAGAGTAATGAATTGTTTGTCACAAAGTTTAATTTAATTTGAATTGGATGGTTCCGAGTGTAGTGCTTGTCCAATAAATGAATCTGATTTGCTCTATTTATATAATATTGAGATTAATGTATTTTACCATGTAAGTGGGGATTTTATTTAAGTGTTCTCTCAAATTGTAGAGTTTTTCTGAAATATCTTTGTGGAAAATACACGAGATTCCAAAGTGTTACCAAAGGCTAGAGAGTCAAAAAACCTAAGACCCCAATTTTAACCCCAAACAGGAACCTAACAGTAACATATTGTCCTCTCTAATTTAATTTGAGTGATTTCCCTCAAGTGCCATTTTTATTGGGTCTCATGTATGTATACTGTTAATATATATCATTTATGTGTAAGTTTTTGAGTTATGACAACAACAATGTAATGTAGAAAATAGTTCCTTGTGTTCATTCTGAAGTCAGTCTTAGAAATCATACTCTGTTTTGGCTGTGTTTCTTAGTGTTTTAGTGAATCACCCCCACGGTATTTTTTTAAAGCTATCTTTGAAGTAAAGATAATCTTCATAGAAGTCTTAAGAGATGTGTCAGAGTTTATATTTGGTCAAGAATCATGATTTCAAGCTTTTGTAACATAGTAAGCAGTATGTATTTAGGAATTGAATATAAAAAACTTGTGTTCTTAAGTATATTATACTGTTTGCTCTTTATTCATCTTAAAGCTATTTAGACAAAGTATTAAATGAACTGAAGACAGATGTTCAAATAATTAGGACAGTTTATAATAGTATTTGTCATATATAATTGTATGTAATCCTCAGGTGTCATGATTGTTTTTTATCACAGAAATGCCATATGTTATCCTATTAGTCATTAAAGAGTGATATTGTAAATTAAAAGATTTTTATGAGGCTTTTGCAAATGATCCTATTGTTTTGCTTTAAAATACTTTTTTATGTTCTTTAATTATACTAATCTGTTGGTGTAATATTCCTATTTTATTGTATGGTACTGAATAAACAAACTTGCTGCATAAAATCATTCTTGGCCTTTAAAAAATTCTAGTTTTGTCATTTTGTCTCAAATGTAATATACCTTTTTAATATCGTGGATTTAATATAAATTTGAATATTTATGAATGTGATTAATCATTTTTGTGTGCATTTAAGCTTGTGAAATGTCAGAAAGGTTTTATTCTAATAAAAACTCAAATTTACCTGAAGTAGCAAAAGTTGATTTTGGATTGGTTGTGTAATAATACAAGTCATAATCACCAGTGTTTCTAGTCCTTGTGTGGTGCTATAGGATGAACACTGAAGTGCTAACCACAAGGACGGTGGTTCAAACCCACCAGCTGCTCCTCAAAACCAACTCCACAGCATTTAACATCCACACACATGCACCTGCCTCTGCTTTTATGTCATCTTCACAAAAATTTCTTTCAAAGATGCTTTTCTCCTCTTAAGATATAGGAATTGAATTTCACTAAATCAGATAAATGTACTATGATTTTGTAAAACATGAGGATAAGTCAAAATTTATCCTCACTTTGGCTGTAAAATTTATTTTAATTAACTTTTAGAAAATACAAATACATCATTTTTCTTTTTTTTTTTTTCAAATACATCATTTTTCAACATAATGTCCTTGCTTTTCTATATACTCTGTCCATCTCAGGCTCTTTGGGATGAATCCATGTCTCCTCACCAGTTAATGACTTTTTTCATAAGCAAATTTTTACCTTCCTTTACGTATTGGTCCAAATTTTGTTTGCAAATGTCCAAAAGCTTGTTTAGGCTCTTCTTTAGTACCCATCTTGCACAAACTTTTCGAAACCCGAGTCTCACACCTTATTTCTTCAGCAGAGCTGTGGCTGATTTGCAAATGATCTGCCGCATAATCCACTGTCACTCATCTATTTGACACACGCTCAATGTTGTCATCAGCCGGGAATGTGGACGGGTGTTTTAATATAACTGGAGTGTGGATCATTGTTTTAAAGTTTTTATTAGGAATTATGTGATAGTACATGGGAGAACATTAGTTTTACATGCTTCCTATCATTATCGTTTCATTGCCATGATTACAATCCCTTCCATGCATCATCAAACAACCAAAGGGTATACCCCGTAGGCCTGCCCCTTGGTCGTCAGCACAGAGTCCCTCTTCCTCTCTGGGTCTAAAGTGCCCAGCTACTCCATCTCTCCATGTCATCGTCTGTCTCTGCCTCCATCTCAGCCATCACTGCTTCTCTGGGTAGGGCCCCCCCGCCCCCCAATGGCGTGTGGATAATTTTTGACTCATCCTCATAGTTTGAAAAGAAATCAGTTACTCTTTGAAGTGAGCAACCCTGGATCCTAAGATCTCTAAATCATAAAAACTTTAATTAAAACAGTTCTCTTGAAGAGTAATGATGTGCTAAATGCTTATAGACTAAGTTGCTTGAGTCCTGCTCTGCCCCCCACCTTGTCCTTTCCTTTCCCCACTTTCTCTAGCGCAGTGAGGAATGGCCAGCCAATCTCATTAGGTTGAGAAAAATTTCTAAAGTATCAAGTAGAAGGTCATCTAGAGTCTTATATTTTATAACTATTTGATTAGGAATACCAGATGAGGATATTTTGCATATCTTTATTTCCACATGTTGCCATGAACTAACAGTGTTCTCTTTTTTGCTAAAAATAAAGTCATTGTCTAAATCTAATTAAAGACAATGTCTTTAAATCTAATTAATTTTAGAAAACCCAAAATCAATTCAGAAAACATCCTCCTCATTCTATTCCTCTAGACCCACTCTTGGTAACAATATATCAGTCCAGGTCCTCCAGAAAAAAAGGACCAAAAGAATGGTTTGGGGAGGGGGTAAGAAGATGGGAGGCATCCTGTTCTAGGAAATGCTAAGAGAATTTTGGTGGGAAACCTTACCCCACCCACCTACAGTCCTGACATTCCCCCTTCAGGCTTTTTGTTCTCAAGCTCAAAGGACATTGAATCCTTCAGGATGCCAAAACTGCCATTTTGATTTCATGTAAGTTGGAGAAGGATTAGAGACATGGAAGCATCATGTTCTAGACCTAGTTGGAGGATATGTCAAGAGACATTCTGATGTTTTTGTTTAATAAAGGTTCCTATGATTCTGCAGCAATAATACTATTTAACTTATCCTCATGTGTGTCTGTTTATGTTATTTTTGGCAGTTGTTATATAAACCTTATGCAGCTTTATCACAATCTGTTTAAGATTAGAGTACTTAATATAAAATATGGCATCCTAGTGTGGTGCTCTGGGTTAATGTGCTGGACTGCAGCTTCGAACTGTAAGGTTGGTGGTTCAAGCTCACCAGCCACTCCTTATAAACCCTATACAGGGTCACTATGTGTTGGTACAACAGTAACAACACAAAATATAGGTATATTTCAATATTCTAGTTCCATTTGTATCTCCATCTTCATACTATTATTGTCATTTATTACAATTATACAAGACTAGCAACATAGTAATAGTAATAATTCCATGCAGATATTCCATGCTCTTTATTCCTTATAGGCCTGGATTACCATCAGCTTCAAAACCTCATTTAACATTTCTTAAAAAGCAGCTCTGCTTGGGACAAATTTTCTCAGTCTTTGCTGGTCTAAAACTGTCCCTAACTTTCGATTTCAGTGAATCTAAAATTCTTAAAAAAAAAACTTTTATGGTAATTTGAGTAAAAGTTTACAAAGTAAATTGGCTTTCCTCTCAACAGTTCATACACAGTTTGTGACATTGATTGTAGTCCTCACAAAATGGCCTGTTTACTAAATCTATTTATTTTCTTTTCCACTCCTGTCTCCTGAGCTTTATCTGGGCACAAGCTGCCCTTTTGGTCTTGTATGGCTGATTATTCTAAGGAGCGTATCCCTCCTTGGTGTAATTGCTCATACTAAGCTAGTATTAAGTGCTGTTGAGTTGGTTATGACTCATATTGACCCTGTCTATCATTTCCAAGCAGCGGCTGGTGGATTTGAACAGCTGACCTTGCAGTTAGACACCAGTGGCCAAAAGGGTGACAACCATACCCTCAAGGTTCCCACCAGTCTCTATCCGACCAGTAAGCCTGGTGTCTTTTTGTGTTTCTTTTAATGATTTTGAGATTGTTCCATATTTTTCTCCCACTCTACCCAAGACTCTCTATTTTGATCCCTTCCAGAGACATCAGCACCATCTAACTAGGCACCACCTAGTTCTGGCCTTAGCATGGTAGAGGTTGAGGTTCACTTGGTCCTTTGGATTCATTGTTTCCATGTGTCTTTAGTTTGCTTCACTCTGCTCTAGATGGGAGACACCAATAGTTGCACTGTAAATGGTGGCTCACAAGCTT